CCCCAAAACCCCAAAACCCCAAAACCCCAAAACCCCGATCTTAGCTGTTTATGTTGAAACTTTAAAAAATTTAGAAATTTGCACATTTTTATTATGGGCATCTCACTTTTTTTGGAGGGAAATTGCGGGGTTTGGAAAATCAGGACATGTATCTCATTTCTTGAATTTAATTTTGACGTATTCCTTAATCTGGTTCTTAACCTCCTCGGTCTTCTGATTATTCTCGATCACTATTGAATTTCTGAACAAGTCCCGCACTTTAATCAATCCGCCAAGACAAGTATCTCAAAGTTTACCTTTTCTTTCATGTCTGTCAAGGACACTTAATATATGACAATTATTGCACCAAGCGATGGATCTGGCCTTCTTGCAGGCATTATTCACGTCTATATGCATATAGGCCACAAAGCTCAAGTCTTCTTTATTTGCTATACTCTCTATTGCCTTTGTAGGTAGTCACTTTTTGCAGTTATTAATGATGCAAAGTGTCGGATGCTTCAGAGTTTCAATATAACTGTACATCCTCTTCTTAAAACATTCCGGATGTGCTTTGTGTTCACCGTTACAGATACTTAAAAGCTTACTGATCTCACAATCTTGAAAACATAGGTCTCACCTCGGCTCTCCTCTAAGATTTGAAGAGTAGACCTTAAATTTTGAGCTTGAAAGCGCTTCTTTTAGATTAGATTTTTCCTTTTCCTTTTGATCTGACATCATACAGTATTTCTTCAGGGTCAAATCCTGGATGGTATCATCCATATCAGGGGACCCTATCAAGTTCTCTGATTCTCCAAGAATATTACTAGAAGGGCTAATTTTCTCTAATGAAGAGTTATCCTAAAATTGTAAGATCATACTAAGTTCCGTACTTTTTGCTCCTCTTGATTGTTGATCGGCTCCAATATCGTGTCTTTGCCATTCTCCTCTTCTAGCTCTTCCTTGATTTCAAGTTTTCCGAGGTTACTGAACTTGGCCGCCTCTGAGATGTCATCAGCAGAAAAGTCTAAATTTTCCTGTTCAGACAGCTTATCTATAGATTTCAGGTAGTCCTTCATTCTTCTCTTCTTAGGTTTGCTCATTGGGGTTTTGGTTTGCACTGATATTATAGCAGGAGTTTGGCACCTCGAAGAGACAATGCGCTGGTTACCCTCAAATACTTGGGGAGAATGCACTTCTTTCGAAGGAGAGGTATTTTCCTTCCCATCAAGCGTTGATAGGTGTAAAATACTGAGAGTATGATATTTAATAAATTTTAACTTCCTTTGAAATAAATCAATGTTATCTATTTGTTAAAATGTGCTGAAATACCTGAGTACTGGGATCCTTCCACTAGAAGTTTGCTCTTTAGCTTAGACATTTCCTTCCTAACATCACTAATCTGGGTCAAATTGTGCTTCAAAAGGGTGCAGACCGTTTGAAAGTCTTTGTGAAGGTTCAATTCCATTATATTTAAATTTATCAATAATCAATTTGACTTTAAATTCTTGGGGTTTTGGGGTTTTGGGGTTTTGGGGTTTTGGGG